CGCAATGATGGAGCCAACTTGGGCCAGTGAAGCAACACCCTCCACAACTAGACTGAAGAACAAAAGGACAGCAACTTGTCTGTTCCCCTTCCCCCAATTCCCCAGCATTGTTTCCATCACCCAATTCCCCAAATTAAAAAAATTTAAAAAAGAACAAAAACAAAAAAACTGGAGGCTGACAAAAATAACCTTGTATGGGCTCTGAAACAGCCAAATGACTGTAACAACCAAGTAAATATCCATCCAATCAAGTAAAAGCTACATTCAAAATAGGAGGAAGTTTTGGGGCATTTTTACTTGAACTTGCTCCACCCACTTCCCTGCACAATCTTGAACTGGAGGAAGCAGCAGCCCAGTCCACAATTCCCTCCTTCCCAAACTAGAGGGAACAACAAACCTTTGCAATGCTCTAAGCTGCTGGAGGCTGCTAAGGGATGCTCTCTGTTTTACCTAACTCAGAGCTCAAATGGAAAAGATGCTAGTACTACTCGAGAGAACTGCAGGGGGCTCACAGACCTACAGATGACTGGAACAAAAGACTATGGGTACAGACACATACAACAGACCATCTAGGGTCCCAAGGAGAAGCTAGCGTAATATTCTTTGGGAATTTAAGATCTTCAAGAGCAATTGTGTATGTGAGGAATAAAAAAAGCTACACAGAGATTTGGTAAGAGGCATGCCTGGAAGATGCCTGAGACCAGAAACCTTCACACTGGGCTGATCCTACATCCCAGGGCACACCCAGCTATTAAGTGAAGAACTGGTCCAACAAAAAACCAGTCTGCAAAGATGGGGAGTGTGATGTTTTCTCAAATTATCAATTTTCAATAAAAAATTACAACACATACAAAAACCCAAACAAACAACAACAAAAAAAACCCCAGGAAAACAAACTCACTCAAAGGAAGGAAATAAACTGGCAGAAACTAGTCCTATGGAAGCATAGGTAATGGACTTGCTAAATACTTTGTAAAAACTGTGCTAAATATGCTTAAAGAACTAAAAAAAAAAACAAAGAAAAAAGAGAATAAGGAAAACAATATATAACAAAATGAGATCAACAAAAAGATAGAAATTATAAAAAGAAACCAAACAATTCTAGAGCTGAAAAAAAACAAAACCAAAAGGCAGATCTAAACAAAAAGATGCATCAGCAAACTTATAAAACAGGACAGTTGCAATCATCAAGGCTGAGGAAGAGAAAGAAAACAAAATGAACAAAAATAAACAGAGTCTAAGGAACTTTTGGGACACCATCAAACAGACCAATATAAGCATTATAGGAGTCCAAGAACGAGAAGACAAAGTGAAAGGGGCAGACAGATTATCTACAGAAATAATGGCCAAAATCTTCCCAAGTTTCCCCTTCCTCCCTCACTGTTCCATGTGTGTCCCTCCCGAAGCTGCGCCCTTGGTGGAAGAGGACAACCTTCCCGGATAGAGGAGAGGACCATTCTTCGGTCAAGGGTACACGAGTAGCTGCACTCCCCTGCTAGAACCTCCAAACGAGCTCTCAAGGTCCATTTGTAGGAGAACGTAGGGTAGTCAAGCTTCCAAGACTCCAGACACATCCAAATGAGGTGCTACATGTAGCAGTCTGCCATTAAAAAAACAAAACAAAACAAAAAACTAAACAAAACAAAAACACTTCCCAAGTTTGATAAAATATATAAATTTATAAGACCAAATAGTTCAATAAGTTCCACGTAGGACAAACATTAACAGATCCACACCAAGATACAATATAATCAAATTGCTGAAAAACAGAGAATTTTGAAAGGAGGCAAAGCAAAGTGAATTTTGAAAGGAGCCAAAGCAAAGTGACTCATCATATACAACGGATCCTCAAAAAGATTATCAGCAGAAAACCTGGAGGCCGCAAAGCATGAGGATAATACATTAAAAGTGTTAAAAGAAAAAAATTACCAAACAAGCATTCTATATCTACCAAAAATTGAGGGAATTTATTACCATTAAAAATGCCCTACAAGAAATGCCAAAGGGAGTTCTTCAGGTTGAAATGAAAGATCATCAGACAGTAACTCAGATATATTAAAATATGAAGAGCTCCAGAAAAGGTAAATACATAGGCAAACATAAAAACCAGCATTAGTACAATATTGGTTTGTAACAACACTTTTAATTTTCTATAGGATATAAAAGAAAAATGTACAAAAATAATTATAAATCTACATTAATGGGTACACAATGTATAAAAATGTTAATTTGTGACTGATAACACACAGGGGTGAACAGACCTGTAGAATAGTAATGTTTTTATGTGTGATTGAAATTAAGTTGGTTTCAATTAAAAACAAACTTATGGGCCGGCCGAGTGGCTCAGTTGGTTAAGAGCTCGCTCAAGAGTTTGAGCTCTGAACAACAGCGGTTCGAGTCCAGCCCGAGCCGAGCAGCCGCTGAGCTGCCAACAGGTAGCAGGATGGCTCAGCTAAAAAAACAAACAAACAAACAAAAAAACAACTTATAATTTTAGGATGTTAAATAAAGTGAGAAACAAATCAAACTGTGTCACTATAAAAACTCAACTAAATACAAAGAAAGAGTAATGAAGGAAAAGAGGAACAAAAATGTGACATACAGAAAATAAAATGGCAAAAGTCCTTCGCAAGCAGTAATTACTATAAATGTAAATGAACTAAACATTCCAATCAACAGGCGCAGATTGGCACAAGGGATTTTAAAAGCATGATCCTACTATATATGCTGTCTACATGACACATTTTATTTAGATCTAAGGACAGAATAGGTTGAAAGTGAAAGGACAAAAAGATATTCTATACATATAGTAACCAGACAACAGCTGGAGTGGCTATACTAATATCAGACTAAATAGACTGTAAGTCAAAAACTGTTACGAGAGACAAAGGACAGGGCTGGCCGAGTGGTGTGTTGGTTAGGAGTTGGCTTGGGACACCAGCTCTGAGCAGCAGGGCCCTGGTTCGGATCCCACATGAGGCAGTGACACTGCCCTCTACAGCTAAGATGGTGAAAAACAGTTCGACCGTAGCTGGGCTGCTGTGAGTAGCCGGCAACAGCATAGGCTGCAGTGGGCTAGCTGGCAGCTGGCGTGAGCTTGCGTTAGCTACCATCCAATGGCTGGCAAGCAACTGCCTCACCTGGGAAGAGCGCAATGATAATACCAACATGGGCCAGTGAAGTGACGTTCTCCACAACTAGACTAAAGAACAAAAGGACAGCAACTTGTCTGTTCCCCTTCCCGGATTCTGCAACACTGTTCCTCTCCAATTCCCCAATAAAATCTTAAAAAAAGAGAGAGAGAAAGGACATTAAATATTGACAGAAAGGTCAATTCATGAAGAAGATATATCAATTATAAACATATATGTATCAAACATCAGAGCTCCAAAATACATGAAGCAAACACTGACAAAATTAAAGAGAGGAATAGACATACCTACACAATAACCACACTCCACTTTTAGTAATGGATAGAACAACCATATAGATAAAAAAGGAAATACAAGAATTGAACAACACTATATACCCACTGAACCTAACAGACATATACAGACCAAAAAACAGAACACATATTCTCAAGTCTACATGGGACATTCTCCAGGAGAGACCATATATTAGGCCACAAAAAAAGTTTTAATAAATTTCATAAGGTTGAAATCAGATAAAGTATCTTTTCCAATTGCAATGGAATGAAAGTAAAAATGAACAGAAGAAAACTGGAAAATTTACAAATATGTGGAAATTAAACAAATTCTTAACCAAAGGAAATTTTTAAATCTTGAAAAAAATAAAAATGAAAACACAACAGACCAAAACTTATGGGATACAACAAAAGCAGTGCTAAGAGAGAAATTTATAGATGTAAATTCTTACATTGAAAAAGATTTCAAATCAACCGAACTCTGCATCTTAAGAAAGTAGAAAAAGAACAAACTAAACCCAAAGCTAACAGAAAAAATAATAAAGATTAACACAGTGATAAAATAGAGAAAAATCATAAAACCAAGAGTTGGCTCTTCAAAAATATCAAAAACATTGACAAGTTTTAGCTAGACTAAGAAAAAAGGAAAGATCCAAATAACTAAAATAAAAAATGAAATGGGGAACATTATAGAAATAAAAAGGATCTGATGGGAGTAATGCGAACAATTGTACATGAACAAAATGTATGACCTAGATGAAATGGATATATTTCTAGAAACACAAAACCTGCTAAGACTGAATAATGAAGAAATAGAAAATCTGAACAGACCTATAAAAGTAAGGATATTGAATAGTAATCAAAAACTTCCCAACTAGAAAAGCCCAGGAACAGATGGTTTCACTAGTGAATTCTATCAAACATATAAAGAAATCTTATCAAAAAAACTGAAGAGTAAGGAACACATTCCAACTCACTGGACAAGGCCAACACTACCCTAATACCAAACCAAGAGAAAGACATTACAAGTAAACCAAAGGCTAATTATCTCTTATGAATACTGATGCAAAAAATCCTCAACAAAGTAGTAGCAAACCAAATTCAGCAGCGTATTAAAAAAGGACTATACACCACAACCAAGTAGAATTGATTATTGAAACACAAGAATGGTTCAACAAATAACCCAATATATCACATTAACAAAATGAAAGAGAAAAAAGATACATGATGATTTCAATTAATGCAGAAAAAGCATCTGAAAAAAATTCAACATCCTTTCATAATAAAAAACACTCAACAAACTATAATAGCAATAGAAGGAAAATTCATACACATATTAAGGACCTCCTAAGGACAGCCTACACCTAACATCATACTGAATGGTGAAAGGCTGTTCTTATTCAGATTAGGAACAAGACATGGTGTCCACTTTGCCACTTCCATTCAACATAGTACTGTCAGTTCTAATAAGAGCAATTAGACAAGAAAATAGACATCCAAATTGAATGAAAGAAGTAAAACTATTGTTTGCAGGTGACAAGAAATATATATGTAGAAATGCCTAAAAATTCCACACAATCAAAAAGCTGTTGGAGCTAATAAATTCAGCAAAGTTGCAGGATACAAAATCCACATATAAAATCATTTAATTTATATACTAACTCTGAACAATCTAAAAGTAAAATTAAGAAAACAATTACATTTACAATAGCCTCAAAAAAAAATAAAACTGTTAGGAATTAACTTAACCAAGGAGGTAAAAAACTTGTACAATGAAAACTAAAAAACATTGCTACAAAAAACTAAAAAGACATAAATAGAAACAAATCCCATGTTCATGAATTAGAAGACTTAATATAGTTAAGATGGCAATACTACCCAAAGTGACCTACAGACTCAATACAATCCCTATCAAAATTCCAATGACTTTTTTGCAGAAATAGAAAACTCATCCAAAAGTTCATTCAGAATCTCAAGGGACCATGAATAGTCAATCCTGAAAAGGAACAAAACAAGGCTCATACTCCCTGATTTCCAAACTTACTACAAAGTTACAGTAATCAAAAGAGCATGGTACTGGCATAAACGCAGACATACAGACCAACAGAATAAAGTCCAGAATTAAACCCTTGCATATGTGTATGTAGGCAAATGATTTTTGACAACAGTGCCAAGACTATTTAACAGGGAAAAGACAGTTTTGTAAACATATGGTGATGAGAAAACTGGATATCCACATGAGAAAAAAAAAAAAAAGACCATACCTTACACCAAACACAAAAATTACCTCAAAATGGATCATAAACCTAAATGTAAGAGCTGAAACTGTAAACTGTTTGAAAAATATAGGGGGAAAGCTTTATGACATGGGATTTTTGCAACGTCTTGGACGTAGCACCAAAAGTACAATCAACAAAAGAAAAAATAGATAAACTGGAGTTCATCACAATTTTTTTTTTTTTTTTTTTCTGAGCCATCCTGCTACCTGTTGGCAGCTCAGCGGCTGCTCAGCTCGGGCTGGACTCGAACCACTGTTGCTCAGAGCTCAAACTCTTGAGNTGGCAGCTCAGCGGCTGCTCAGCTCGGGCTGGACTCGAACCACTGTTGCTCAGAGCTCAAACTCTTGAGTGAGCTCTTAACCAACTGAGCCACTCGACCAGCCTGTAAGTTCATCACAATTTAAAACTTCTCATGGATGAACCAGGAGGACATTAGGTTAAATTAAATAATCCAATCATAGAAGGGCAAGTACCACATGATTCAACTTATATGAGGTATCTAAAGTAGTCAAACTCTTAAAAAAAAAGATTGTGGTTGCTAGGGGCTGGAGGGTTGGAAAAATGGATAGCTGTTATTCAATGGGTATAAACTGTTGGTTATGCTAGATGATTAAGTTCTAGAGATCTGCTGTACATCACAGTGCATACAGTTAACAATACACTGTTGCATACTTAATGTTTTGTTAAGGGGGCAGATCTCATGTTTAAGTGTTCTTATCACCACACACACAAAAAGGAGTGGACACATGGAATCTTTGGGAAGTGCTGGATATGCCTATTACCTTGACTATGGTGATGGTATCATGAGTGCCTGTATATGTCCAAACTCATAAAATTGTACACATTAAATGTGTTATTTTTATATCAATTATATTTCAATGTTAATTTTTTTTAAAA